CCACACCCCAGCCCCTCACTGGGGGATTCTAGGCAGGTGCTCTACCACTGAGCCACACCCCAGCCCCTCACTGGGGGATTCTAGGCAGGTGCTCTATCACTGGGCCACGCCCTCAGTATTCTTTCTACTTTTTATTCTGAGACAAGGTCTTGCTATGTATCTGAGGCTGACCTCTTTAACTCAGAATCCTCCTGGCTCAACCTTCTAAGTATCTAAGCTTAGAGGTGCGTACCACCAGACCATGACCTCTGCCTGCTTCTTATCCAAGTGTTTCATTGAGAGACCCCCCCCTGCCCTCCTTTACCACCTCCTCAAAGCTGAGAGTGGCCACTGCTGGCAGATCCCAGCACTGTTGATAAGACAGAACTATGAGTTTTTTTTTTTCTTACTAGAAAGTTCCATGATCTAGACACAGCTGGAATGGGGCTGGGAACAGGCAGGGAGGTCATCTGGGGTCAGGGTCAGGTTTAGCTTAAAGTCGAGCTCACATCTGGGTCAGAAGTCAAATGTTTAGATATAGTGTCTGGGGTCTTTCATTCCAAGTGCTGCCTTATAGGGGGCCATGGGGGCCTCAGATTCTGCTTTGCCTGAAGCATCAGGGTTGTTTCTGGGTTTGTGAGCAGAGGGCAATCTCCGGAAAGCTGGTACAGTGGGGCTCATGCAGGACACAGGCCATTGAACTGCCTCTAACCTCCTGTCCCTGGCCAACTTGTAGCCTGGCTTTAGCCTGTTGATACCCGGGGGCTTTCACTGCCTACAGCTTCCTTCTTTCGGCTCCCTTGCCTGGAATGGCTCTGGGAATTCTGCCTTCCCCATTTCAGGGGCCTTACTTCGATCTTACCTGGTTTAGGTGGTTTTCCTCCAGGTCCCAGAGCTGCAGAGGGAAGAGATGAGAATGAATGGTAGGGAAGAGGTGACTCACCTCTCTCTCTCTCTCTCTCTCTCTCTCTCTCTCTCTCTCTCTCATCTGAGACAGGGCTTCATCATAGCCCAGGCTGGCCTCAAATTCGAGATATAACCAAGGATGACTTTGAGCTCCTGAATCTCCTACTTTCACCTCCCATGTTCTGGTACTACAGACATGTACCCCTTCCATCTCTTAGTACTTATACTTTGCTTAACCCTGCCCCACAGTAGAGGTTGAGAGTTGCATGTAGGTCTCTTCCCCAAGTGCTAAAGAAGATGTCCAGAGAGTCCTCTTGCTTGGACATGGAGCCCCTGGGGGCCCATCTCTCCCTCTGGATTTTCCATTGAGTGACAGTTTGTTTTGAGACTGTCCTGTGTAGCTCAGGCTGGTTTCGAACTTGCTATGTAGTCAAGGATGACTTTGAACTCTTTGATCCCCCAGCTTCCACCTCCTAAGTGCTGGGGTTATAGGCATCTCCGGCAATTTCTCATTCTCCCCCCACCCCCTCCAAAGGAGTTACTCTCCACCTGACAGGAATGTTAGAGAGGAGATCAAAGAAATATAAAAGTAGGTAGAGGCCCTCAGGGAGAACAACAAAGGTAGAAGGTCCTAAAAGGGCCACTGGGGTTTTGTTCTGAAGTAGGTCTCTTTCCCAGGGGATGCTCAATCTGTCTATCTGGGATCTCTTGAAGACCTCAGGTCTAATGGTGTGTGTTGGGGGGTCATAATGGTGCCCAGATCCTTTCATTGAGGAGTCTAAGGCTACCTTCTTACCTCCTCCTCCTCCTCCCAGGCCTCCGATACCAGCCCCTGGCGTGTGTTGAGAGAGAGAAATATCAGCGATTAGTATCCAGACAAGTCACACCCCACCACCCACTGTCAAATTCTAGCCGCAGAACTTTGGGCAAGTCAATATCTCTGACCCTCAGTTTCTTTTTCTGTCTTACCGGCTCAATAGCCTCCTGTCAGTTTGTCCGGGGATGGCACTAGCGGGACTTCTGAGTTCCTGTCAGTTATTTTCTTTCCATTGTGTGTGTGTGTGTGTGTGTGTGTGTGTGTGTGTGTGTGTGTGTGTGCCTGTGGAAGCCCAAACTTGATGTCTAGAGTTATCCTCTATCACTCTTCCACCTTATTCATTGATGCGGGGTGTCTCAGTCAAACTCATAGCTCACCAGTGTGGATAGCTCGCCTGCCCGCCGATCACAGGCGTTTGCCATGGCCCCGAGTTTACGAGGTGCCGGGGCTTCACACACTCTAGGCAAGCACTCTACCAACCAAACCACATCTCCAGCTCAGTTGCTCTATTTCTCTTTTCTGTTATTTGCCTCCGGTGGGTTGCCAAGAGTGGGATTAAGGCTTCGAGGACTGCGAACCGTCCGATGACGGGAATGTGTGAAGGCGCCAGCCTTCTGACAGCGGGGATTATGCTCCATCTTGTACAATATTTATGCTCCTAATAGCTGCTCTGTTAGCAGCCTTCTTTAGGGTGGAGACTGGGTCTTGCTGTGCAGCTCAAGATGGCTTTGAACTCTTGACTTTCTGTGTCTGGGATGCTACTGTTACAGATGTGTGCCTTCAGATCTCGCGCCATTAATTGCACTGCTTTTTTGGAGGCAGGGTCCCACACAGCCCAGGCTGGCCTGAGCTCTCTCTCTCTATCCATGATGGCCTTGAATGTCTGTCCTCTTGAGTGCTGGGATTGCAGGCATGCACCACCATACCTGGTTATGAAGTGCTGGGGATGGTACTAGGGATTCCCACATGCTAGGGAAACACTCTGCTAACTGAGCCACATCCCCAGCCTGGTTAACGTCTTCAGAAAGTGGACCTGACTTGGAGGTCCTCGGTGCCAGGAATCTAAATGTTAGCACACCTCTGGCCCATGAAATAGCTCTGTGGGTAAAGCCCACATGCTGCCACACCTAACAGACTGAGTTCCATTCCTGGGACCCACATGGTGGTAGGAGAGATCCAATTCCCAAACATTGTCCTATGGAGCTGGGCATGGTAGCATACGCTTTTAATCCCAGCCCTCCAGAGGCAGAGGCAGGTGAGACTCTGTGAGTTCCAGGCCAGCCAGGGATACATAGTAAGACTCTATTTCAAAAACAAACAAACAAACAAACAAACAAACAAAAAACAAAAAGAAAAACAAACCAAAAAACAAAAAACCAACCAACCAACCAACCAACCAAAAAACAACAAAGCAAAATAAACAAAAAGAAACAACCAAATGAAAAAAATTGTTCTCTGACCTCCATATGCAAATGTAATAAAAATATTTAAAAATATTCTATTTCTCGTGAACAGTCCATCCCCATGTGTCATACATAGGTGTGTAGAAACTTCATTACATTACCTGGATAATAGACTCCACCAGGAACTCCACCAGGCACACCTCCTGGAACCCCTAGAAGGAAGGAGGTAGACTCTTTGATTAGTCAGGCTTATCAAACAATTTTTTTCCTTTTGGCTTTTTGAGACAGGGTCTCACTATGTTGTGTAGCCCTGGCTGTCCTGAATCTCTCTCTATAGATGAGGCTGTCCTCAAAATCACAGAGATCCACCTGTCTCTGCCTCCTGAGCCCTGAGATTAAAGGCACGCACCACCACTGCCTGGCATCCAACATGTTTTAATGAAGATATAGATAATGATCATGGTATTGTCTATAGATCAGTGTCTGAGGGCAAACAACTGCTACATTTTTTTGGTGTGTGTGTGTGTGTGTGTGTGTGTGTGTGTGTGTGTGTGTGTGCTTAGCAAGCACTCTACCACTGAGCTTCTTTCCAGGCCCTTAGTGGGGGGATTCTAGGCAGGTACTTTACCACTAAGCCACACCCCAGCCCTTCACTGGGGGATTCTAGGCAGGGGCTCTACCACTGAGCCACACCCCCAGCCCCTCACTGGGGGATTCTAGGCAGGGGCTCTACCACTGAGTCACACCCCAGCCCCTCACTGGGGGATTCTAGGCAGGGGCTCTACCACTGAGTCACACCCCAGCCCCTCACTGGGGGATTCTAGGCAGGTGCTCTCCCATTGAGCCACACCCCCAGTCCTTCTACCACTGAATCATACCCCCAGTTCTTGTTTAATTGAGACAGGTTCTCACTTTGTAGTTCAGACTGGTCTTGACCTTGCAACTCCCCTTTCCCGTTCCCCCCTCCCCGCCCCCTTCCTCCAGCCTCCTGAGTGCCTGGAGATTGTAAGGCACGGACCACCACACCTGGCTTTGCATGTTTTCATTCTTCTCAAAGTGTCTCAATGAAGTTGGAGGGACAGAGATTCTGAATGTAGTTCCAGCAGACTTGAAGTCAGGCCCAGAGAGGTTAAGGGAAGTGGCCGGGGCCACACAGCTGGATAAACATGAAGCCTGGAATGAACCCAGGCCACTGCTCTGAGCAGGAGGCTTAACACTGTTGAAGAGAGGGGACCCTGCCTGTGGTTGTGGCTGGGTACTGGGCAAGGGACTCTGCCTACCTACTTTGCCCACGGCTTTGCTCGGAGCTGGGCACTAAGGCTGGAGCCAGTTCTCGGAGGGCAGGGTAGGTGGTGACCCCAGTTAGGAGATGCAGCTGCTGCCTGCCGTCAGCCATTCCCCTCTGACAGGATAGTGCAAGGCCAGTGTCCTTGGCCCCTGGGCAGCTCTCTTTGGGTGGGGCTCTGGCTATCTGACCCAGGGCTGTTTTGGGAGGCGCCAGGGACTGGAGGGGGGTGGGAACACCATGAATGAGCAAATCAAATAGTTTCCTAAGGAACAGTTAATTCCAAGCCAAGGTCACGAGTTCAGTCCCCAGGGACCAGCCAAAGCTCTCATTGGAGATGCTGCCTCTGGAGCTGTTGTCATGGCAACAAATAGAGACTCCTCTACTGAGCCGTGACCTCTAACCTTGACAAGTCACCTTGTCACCATGGCCCAGCTCTGCTCTGCTGAAGGGAGCCCAAGAGTCACATGCTGGGGGGCGGGGGGGACAGGACACAAGGTGGGTGTCAGCCAGCCATGTAGCTTTGCAGTGGGTTCAAGGAGACCTCTCGGCCAGATAGATGTCTGTGTGTCTGGCCTCGGAGACTCGGTGACGATACACAGCTGGGCCTGCCTGGTCCCTGGACCTTGTCAGCCCAAGCAGGGTTGGGAATGTCTGGCTGCCATGGGCAGACTGTGCTACGGTCCTGGCGCCACCACCTCCTGGGGTCTGCACCCCCTCCTCTCTCAACCCTCTAGAGATTGCGAGTCAGGCCTGGATGGTCTGATCAATCTGCTCTCCAAGCTTGGGGGGGGGGGGAACTTAGGGAGGGGCAGCCCCGGGGTAGGGGGGCTGAGTCTGCAGGAAATAAAGCCTTCTAGCGAGCTGTCCTGAGCTGGCAAACACACATGCGCCCCCTCCCCCAAAGCCTTTGATGCCCTCCGGGGCTCTGGCCTCCAGCTCTGAGCTCCATGCAGGGAGAGTCTCTGCCTCTCTCTTGCACTTTCTCCATACCCCCCCCCCCCCCCCCCCCCCCCCCCCGTTCTCTCTGTTCTCCAGCCCCAGAGCTGCCTGCAGGAACACTGGGAACAGTGAGGGGACTCAGGGCAGAGCCCTCTGGCGTCTCTCCCGGCTCCTCGGTCGATGTTCGATGTGTGATCTCAGGCAAGTAACTCCATCTCCCCAGTGCTGGGGTTACAGGCCTGGGCCACCCCACCTGGTTTATTCCAGAGCTGGGAATAGAACCCAGGCTTTCATGCTTGCTAAGCACGCCTTTTGCCGGCTGAGCCACATCCCCAGCAAAGCCTCACTCCGCCCCCGCCCCCGTCCGCACCCCCCCCCTCACAAGGTAGGTGTGATGTCCGCTGCTTCGTATGGTTGCAAATATTCAAATGAAAGAGATCCTAGTCATACCCAGCACAGAGAGTAATTGTTAAAAGAAAATGCTGGTGATCTTGAGTCCCTTGTGAGGGAGGCAGAACGACTGTATCTGATTTGTTTCCCGAGGCTTCCATAAGACGCCTGGGGGTGGGCTTGCCGAGCCCCTGGCCTGACTGAACCCAACTTCTCCTCTCTTGAGTTCTGTTTTCTGACACCCCACCCATAACCAGGCTCCCTCCTGAGGCTGAGGCTGCTACTTCCCCTCTTTCCACGACCATGCTTCCTAGCCTGATAACATCGGTCTACCTCTACCCCCAACCTGCGGGACACCCCAGATAGCCTAAGCTGGTTTTGAACATGAGATTCTCCAGCCTCAGCCACTGGAGTGCTGGGATGGTAGCAGTGTGCCACCATGCCTGGCGTGAGTGTTTGATTCCTGTTTTTCACTGAGGACATGGAGAAGGCTGAGTAGCTGCCATTATCTTGTGGAGGGGAAGAGCTGACTCCCCCAGGTTGTTCTCTGATCACCCCCCATCAACACACACACCATGGTATGTGCATACACACAATAAATATAATAAGAATAACGGACTCTGTAGATAGGACATGTTGGCACACACCTGTAATCTCCGCACTCAGAGGAGGAGACAGGAGGATTGCGAGTTTGAGGTCACGTTGCACTTCATAGGGAGATAGGGTCTTTCCTGGGCTACACAGCGAGGTTCAGGCTAGCCCATGCAACATGGCAAGCCCTTTGTCTCAAAACCATACACTGCCTATGGAGGCCTCCTCCCCCGTGGTCCTCATTTCCACTCTCTCCTCGGTACCAGCGGGGTCTCCTACCAAGAACATCCTCATTTCCCCCCAAGCCCTCCCCTTCTCCAGGACTGTGCTGGAAGCTTCCACCCCGCCTTCTCCTAGCCCACCACAGTTCCGCCTGCCTTCAGCGCTCAGCCAGCCACAAGCAGCTGGCTTGGAACACGCTTGTGTCTTGTTTTATGTGAGTCTGGCTCATTCCTTCTGCTAGCCTCGGGGCGGATCTCGTCCCTCACATGTGTGAATCATGACCCTAGACTCCCAGGGATCTGAACAGTCCTCTGGCCTGGGCTAGAACCCCCCCCCCCCAAAACACCCCCTTAATCCTCTGCCTGTGAACTCTCTGAGACGGGAGAGACTCATCAGCTCTCATTTCATCTGTGTGGTCTGCACAGGGCTTTCTCCTCAGACTGTTTTTGGTCTTGCCCTCCTCGCCTCTCTTCTCCTCCCCTCCTCTTCCCTCCTCTCTTCCCTGTCTCAATAAAACAAAAACAAACACACACACACACACACAGAAAAAGAGAGAGAGAGAAAGAAAAAGAAAAGAAAACCCACCTTAGGGGTTGGGCATATCACTCAGAGGTAGAGCACTTGCCTAGCATGTATAAGGCCCTGGGTTCAGTCCCCAGACCAAAAAAACAACAAAAACAAAAACAAAAATAAAAACCCCCAAACAAACAAAAAAACCTAAAACAGCAACCACCACAACAAAAAACAATAATAAATAATTAAGGAAAAAAAACATAGAAAACTAAAGATTGGAGCTCATTACAAGGACTATCGGCTCCTTAGAAAATTGTAAGAGAATATGTCACTTTACAGTCTTGCTGTCCCACGATCATCTCAGTGGATGTATTTTTGACAGCTGTCAAATGGCTACTGTTCCCCTTGCCCCCAAATCCCAGTGATTCGTAGGAGCTGGGGGCTAAAAATAGGGATACTTCTTCTATTTTGCAGCTAGGGAAACTGAGAGTCAGCCAGACCAAGAAAGAGCCTTGGCCTGGTATCCACATCTGACCTTGGATTTGCTGCTGGGAGGTTCAAAGACCATACGGAGCAGAGCCAACGGGTCCTGGCAGGGGGCTGTGCCAAGCTAAAGTCCAGTGGGGCAGCCTGGGTTGAGCAGATAAGACCTCACCAAGCTGTTGTGTGCACGGAGCCGTTTGCCAGGCACTTTTCAAAAGCTGTCGGTGCTCCCGTGGGTGGGTGCGCCGTCCCCTGTTCCAACAAGACCCACAGAGCTGGATCTAGGCACTCAATCGTTGGCAGCTTATCAGAGGCACCTGGGGAGCTGTCAATCCCCAAATCCCTCAAACAAGAGCCTCCGCAGATCAAATAGAGGAAGAATTCTTGGGTCACAGCGGAGACCCAGGCGATCATCAGGGTCGAAATCTCCTGAGATTAAACCTTCAGTGTGTAAATGTGGGGAGGGGGATGCTGAAAACATTTCTGATGTCAGGAAGAACACTGAACTTGAGCTTTATGTCTAATCTCCAACAGGTGCTTTTTTGAAGAGAGGGTTTCCTGTGGCCCAGGCTAGCTGAGAATTCACCATGTAGATGATGACCTTGAGCTTCTGATCCTCCTGTCCCCACCTTTCCAAAAGGGCAAGGCTGCCACAGGCCAGGGTGCTACCTTGCCTGATTTTTTTTTTCCTTTTTGTGACCTTTTATTTTGTTTTGGGGGGATAGAGTCTCACTATATAGCACAGGTTGGCTCTGAACTCACTCTGTAGCACAGGACTCATACTCACAGCAACCCTCCTCCTGGTGTGAGTTCCTGAGCCGCCACACCTGGTTCATATATTCCCTTTAACATAGGGGGCTGAAGCAAGTTGTTATTCCGGAGTGGGTAGCTATTCCAGCTATGACCTTGAAGCATGGCCCCTAGTGAGGTAGCAGGTAACTGTTATACCGGCCTATAACCTTGAAGTACATGCCCCTGGGGCGTGGTCTGGGGGGGGGGCTTAAGAGCTGGGATGTATGTATTCAGTTCTCTTCACTCTCTCATGGCATTGGATGCTGAGACCTTGGACCAGGCAAATCAGTATGGGACAGAGCCCAGCTTTCCCAGACCTATGATAAATCTCCCATGGTAGTGAGTTAACCCCCAGATAAATTCCTTTGCTCGTTAAATAGACTCCGTGGACTTCTTGCATTATTATTTAAAGGAAATGCTATTATCACCCCCATCAATGACTAGGAACTGGCACCCATGACGTCTTCCTCTTGGGGAGACTGGGCTCCCCCAGGACCAGACCAGGCAGACTTAGGTAGGTGTGACCAGTACTCAGCCTCACCTTGCAAGATCTCTGACCTCTTTGGACCTCAGTGGACTCTCTTGAAAGGTCTCATCAATTCATATGCCTCTTACTTGAACCCAGTGACTCCGGCCACCTGGGACAGAGTGGATGGAGATTTATCTTCACAGGGAACGATGCCAGCTGAGTGCTGAGTGATGTCACCCAGGCTACAAGGGGATGATTTGTTCTGCCCTTAAAGGAAGGCTCCGCCCCAGGGCTGTCTCTCCCCAATATTCCCTGACACTTCCCCTACCCCCCCTTTTTGACTCAGGGCAGAAAGCTGTCTGATATTAACTTCCAGGGGCAGCCCTAGCCTGCCTCAGGCTCTATTTCTGTACCTTTCAAGAAAGGGTCTTGTGTAAGCCAGGTTAGCCTTGAACTCTCTATATAGCTAAGTATGACTTTGAACTCCTGATCTCTTGACTCCACCTCCTGAGAGCTGGCACTACAGGCATGAGCCAGCATACCTGGTTTATGTGGTGCTGAGGATGGGACCCAGGACTTCGAGCTAGGCAAGCCCTCTGCTGCCTGAGCTCCATCTCAGCCTTTTGGATGCTTGTGAGACAAGATCTCACTATATATACAGTTCAGGCTGCCCTCCGACTCCATAGCCTCCTGCCTTAGGTGTGTGTTATTTCATGCCTGGCTTCAGTTTCCCCGTTTGTAAAGATAATAGTTTCTTTATGATGAACTAGTATAAGCACTGGGAGGTGGGGTGGGGTGGGGTGGGGTGGGCAGATGTTAGGATGTTAGATGTCCATGTCTGGGGCAGGAGGGTCAGGTGACCCGGACTCACTACTCTTAACCACTGGCTTGCTGCAGCTGCAGGGTCCTCCTGTTGGTACCCACACCCCTCACTCAGGCTTGTCCCTGTCTAGGAACTCTTGTCTCACAGTGGGCTCCTGCCCTGAGCAGGTCGGTATCAAGGAACAGCTGCTGTTCCCACCCAGCCTCTGACCACAGCCCCGCCCCGCCCCGCCCCGCCCCACCCTGCCCTGCAGCCCCTTGTCCCCAGTTCAAGTTCAGGTTCCCACGACAAGGAGGTCTCTTATGGAAACCAGTCTCCAACCAGACTACCCCAGCAGATGGTTCATGAGCTGCACCTCTTCCCCCATAGCTGGATGCACCTTCCCTCTGGGGACAGTTCCCTTCCTCCCCCATAACCCAATGTGCCTGGTCCGGACACGTATCAGATGACCAAAATGATAACTTGAGGCTCCGTGTAACCTCTGACACCAGCTGTGCCCTGTCTGCCAGGAGATGGGCACTTTCCCCAGCTTCCCCCACTGGCCTGTACTCCACCCCAGCAAACCCTCCCACGGGCATGGACTTGCACACACTTACAGTGACAGCCTTCACCTGGGCACCAGACTTCTTGGAGATTTTATTTTATTTTTTTGAAACAACCTCATGTAGCCCATGTGGCCTCAAACTCACTATGCAGCCAACCAAATGTTGAATTCCTGGTCCTTGGGCCACCACACAGGTATGCATCACCACGCCCATCTAGTTTACCCAGGGCTTTGTGCACATTTAGCATGTACTCAACCAAGTGAGACATCCTTCATCCTCGTTTACTTTAGTTCCTTTTTTTTTTTTTTTTTTTTTTTTGATGAGGTCTGGTTGGCTTTGAACTTACATCCTGGGATCACAGGTATGGCTCACCATGCCCAACCGTGTGTTGGACTTTGGCAGGTCCTACCAGACAACTTCACAGTTGCCTCCCTCCATCTCCACCTGTCTAGGAATGGACTTATGAACAGACCTTCATACCTTTCCCAGATACTCCTCCTTCAGGGACATGATCGACCAGACCCTCACATTGACACCTGTGCAACATAGTATGAAACACACACACACACACACACACACACACACACACACACACACACACACACACACGGAATCCCAACATTCCCAAGCAAAGACAAATCAGGATTGTCTCTCCCCGGGCTGGTATGTGCACAGGTGTGCAAACTGCCCCCACTGGGGAAGCACCCAGGTGGCTCGTAGGACGGCCCCCCCGCTCCGAGCTTGGGCAGAGGGTAGGGACCATCCTGATTTGTGGAATGTATGCTTGACAGGACCCCCTAGGCGGAGCTGGATCCCTAGAGGAGACAGTTCCCAGGACTCTGCCTGGAGGAGGGGGGATCTGGAGGTGAAGGGCTCATCCGTCTCCGGGATCCCCCCTCAGACTTGTCACCTGGCTAGCTGAGTCCCGCAGAGGTGGGCAGCGTGGGACCCGCGAGGGGCAGCGTGGGACCGGCGAGGGGCAGCGTGGGACCGGCGAGGGGCCCCTTACCTCCAGGCTGCGCGGGATGGAGGAGGTTGAGCAAGAAGATCAGCAAGGCTCCAGGCTGCCGGACTGCCGCCGCTGTCAGACCCGCCATCTCGGGGAGGACTGCCCCAGCCTGCTCTCTGCGCCTCGTTTTATCCCCAAAGCGTAATTGCTGCCTGGTAGGCTGCTGTGAGGGAAGGAGGGAGGGAGAGAGGGCGGGTGGGAGGAGGGCGGGAGGAGGGGGA